TCCCACGATAAACCTTGCAATGTCTGGCGAAAAGATGGAAAGCGTATACACTCAGACAATTTACAAACGCTTTCAAAACATGAACATTTTTTTGATGAAGAGCAGTATTTTTGAATAGTACGCGAGAGATCTACAACAAACAAATTAAAGTATTAAATTAGTTTACTTAAATAATATAAATGAAAACAAAAATTCTCTAGCGCATTCATTATTTATTAATGGCGTAAGCAGCTTCTAACACCGCTTGATTCTGGAGTAGATGAATGAACTACATGCTTATCATCATTAGATTTGTTATCGTGTACAGTTTTTTCCAAAGGTGATGAAAAAGTCTCGTGTTCAAATGTTTACTGGTCCCATCCAACAGCAAGCTTGAACTGTCGCGATCTACGATTTTCAAGAGGTCTGTATTTCCCACGAGTTCTTGAGGAGTGTTTATCTCCCGAAGTACTTTAGCAAAAATTTTTCTCCCCACCGATTTAACATTTTTCCTTCGCCTCGCAGCATCATTAATTAAATCGATAATATTTGACCCATCAATTTTTTTACCTTTATAAATTACTGTACCTGTACTATCCCACTTAATATTGTTTTTGTATCCTTTTAAATGTTTTAAAAGCAGCATAGATTTTTGTTGGTACACTTTAGGTACAGTACTGACAATCGTTTCTTCGCTCATTCCATAATCATCTGTAGTAGTAGTGATATTTTTAACTTCGTTTTCAGCAATCTGCATTGGCTCACGCTTTTCATCGATAAAGTATAAATACCTGTGTAAAACTCTCAAGTATTCCTTCAATTTATCGTATTCATTGCTATACGAATTTGAATCTAGAATTTTTTTCATCGAGTCGTCTAATCGACTCAAGTTATCTCCGGCTGTCTGTGTGGTTTGTAAAATAGAATGTGTGAAAAAATTATTTGCGGCTGTAGGAGTAGAAGGACCGGGGTTTCCTCCTACGGTAGTGCTTTCTCTTTTTATTCTTTCGAGTTGGTCTTTAGACAGTAAAAT